TTTGGTGTTGGATTGAGGACCCAAAAGCAGAGGCAGGTAGGCAGAGGTAAATTTAGGTGGGTTTAATGAGGTCCACAGGTACAGAGGCAGGAATCAAAAATCCAACGAAAATAACAAACAAACCAGATCCAGGGAGACATCAGGGGAAACCAAACTCTAGGAGCCAGGGAGAGACGAGGTAAGCAGACAGATGTTAGACAAGGATCCAGCAAACAGGAACTGAAGAGGAAGAGCTTTTAAAGGGGACAGAGACAAAGAGAGGGCTAACGAGGGGATTGGAAACAGGTGAGGACAGAGCAGAAAACAGAGCTAGGGAAAGAGGACACCAGAGGGCAGCAGAGGACAACAAATGGAAAACCTGGAAGACAGGAACTAACAAGAAAACAACAAAATAATAATTAAACACTAAAACAAGGAGCAAAGTAAAACTGAATACTCTAAATAAACATAATAAAACCAAGACTGTAACAGGAAGGGCTGTCCTACCTTCTAGTTAAAAATATTAATTGTGTCTTGACATTATAAGCACTTTATTGAACTGACCAGAAGACCGTAAGACATCATGTGACCCCCCCCCACACACACACACATAATCCTATTGGCCTACTGTATTTACTGTAATGTAACCTGCGTAAAACATTAACCCTTTATGTGCGGTATTCAGATACAATTCAAGGGCCAAAGTGAATATTTATTTCATGTGAGGATGGAAATCTCATCTGAAGATATTAAAGAACTGACTGATTCCTAAACGGGAGCAACGCTCTCTGGGTTGGGCCTGTGATGAAATCTAAGGCTGATTTAGTTGTAGACGTGAAACACCTTAACTTTACCATTTACTAACACCAGTACAGTTGGAGCAGATTCATGAACCGGTGGAGGTAGAGTTGGTCAGGGAGCTGATCACAGAAGCAAAGGTTTACTCTGCTTAGTGGCAGGACATGTGTGCTGTGTATGGCCTATCTGGTTACACTGATACCATCGTCACCTCTGGCTTTGAAGACGAATATAGCTTTTTGCAACATTAGGTTTATCTACAGCGAAAGATTTGTTATCTTCCTGGTCCCAATTACCTTAAAGAAATAGAAAGATGGACATCTTAATATAGAGATGGAAAGATGGACAAGGATGAGAGAACAGGGATTATCAGGACAGCATAGTTATCCCAGAGGGTCTTTATTAAACCCAACGAGAAAAGGACTGCTGAGAGGGAAGAAAACAGAAGCAGGAACATCGTCATTCTAGATGTTCTGCCTTTGAAGTTTAAGTTCGTGTTTAGAGTTCTCCTTAATCTGTTTCTCCTTTCTGCTTCATTGCAGAAAGCAGTTCTTTAATTCTTAGAATCCACCTGTGCCTTTTAAATGAACCCAGGATGAAAAATGTTGAACAAAGTGAGAAACTGTGTCCCTTTGGTGTGCTGTTTGAACGGCATCCACTGCTGTTTTACCTTCTGGGTCGTTTCATGACACTTCCATTACTTCATCAGGATAATCAGGCCCCTCCTCCTGTGGAAGCAGAATAAACGGCAGCCCAGTCAGCCATGTTTCTTTAAAAAGGATTGAATTGTTAAACTCCAAATCTAAAAGCCAAATCTGCAGGGTTGTTATCTGTATCAACATATCTCCACTTTAAAGCATTCTAAACTTCTGCAATTTCAGACACTCCTTTGGCAATAAAAGTGCAGAACCTGGTTGTTTTATTATTGATGCGTACTCAGGTACTATCAGTCCAAAATACTGAGTCGTCAAGTTCCACGGGGAGTTTTTTCTTCCATCTTCTTGCTACAGTGGCAGCAGTCAATGCCAGGTCAATCAGGACCCTTTAAAAGCTGACTATCCAGTGAGACTCCTTGGTATTAGTCACTTCATCTGGATGGGTTCAAACTGATCTCAAATAATGTAAATTACATAGATATTAAAGTAAAAAAATCTTGGTGTTGTTTTTGATCAGGACCTGTCATTTAAATCCCAGATCAAAGAGGTTTCTAGAATTTCCTTCTTTCATCTGAGGAATATTGCAAAAATGAGCAATCTCCTGTCCAGGGGTGATGCTGAGAAACTAGTCTTTGCATTTGTTACTTCAAGGCTGGACTATTGTAATTCTTTACTATCAGGAAGTCCACAAACTGTAGTTAAAAGCCTTCAGCTGATCCAAAATGCTGCAGCCAGAGTTCTGATGAAAATGAAAAAGAGAGATCATATCTCTCCTATCCTGGCTTCTCTTCATTGGCTTCCTGTTAAATCCAGAATAGAATTTAAAATCCTCCTTCTCACATATAAAGCCTTAAATGGCCAAGCTCCATCTGATATCAGAGATCTGATTGTTCCTTATGTTCCTAACAGAGTCAATGAGTCGATGCAATCAGCTGGTTTTCCTTAGATAGAAAACTTTGAATCAATCTGACTGGATGATCTGGTTGAACTGGAAAGTGACCTGAAATGACATGATGTGAATTGGAGCCATAGAAATAAACTGAATAGAATTGAAAGAAATGCAATAAAATGTTTACAAATTGACAAACAACCATAGACAGACGTTCAAATGATATATTTTAAACTTTTACAACAATTTAAATTCTTTCTTTCAATAACCATTCGCCAAAATTTTCAACCAATCTTTGACATGACATGGAAGGATGAAGGTCGCTCCAGTGGAGATGATGAATCAGAGTTTATCCTAATTAATGCTTTAATAAACTATTTACAGTTAGATTAAGATGATCCACATTAACATCAATTAAGAACAAGTACAACATATGTGTGAAAGAGGAGGGTCAAATAAAAACAAATAGGTGAATACCGCCCCCTGCTGGTCATAAACTGGATGCTTTAGATCAATGAATTAAAAATTCAGGAAATAATCTTCACGTTAAACAGCCGCTGCTGTTTGGACAGCGGCGGCTGGATAGAACATTATTTAGTTATGTGTCAGTTTGAACCAGTCTGAAGCCTTTTCATCGGAAGGCTTTAAGTGATCCTTGGATTTGCAAAATAAGTTGTTTTATTAAGTATTTTTTTATACCAAAACTTGAACCAAACTCAATATTTCCGCCTTTAGTGGAGCTTTAATAAATAAACTGTGTCAGCTTACCTAACAAAGTACTCATAATCAGCCAGCTGGCAGATGATACCACACTATTTTTAAGGAATGCAAACCAGATCCCTCTGGCCTTAGAGGTGATTAATACTTTTTCCAAAGCCTCTGGCTTATTTTTAAATTAAAAAAAAAATGTGAATTGCTACCGATTAAGGATTGTCATGCTATTGATATTTGCAATATTCCTATTAAACAAGAAGTTTCTTATTTAGGAATCTTAATCTCTAAAGACCAGAAGTTAAGATGCTCCTCTAATTTCATACCAATTATACAGAAAACCAAAAATAAACTGAACCAGTGGCTTCAGAGGGATTTATCTCTTAGAGGAAGAATTTTGATTTCTAAAGCTGAAGGATTATCCCGACTGACTTATGCTGCTCTCGCCTTACATTTAGACAATAAAATCTGTAAAGATATTGATCGTATGCTTCTTAATTTTATATGGAAAAATCGTACTCACTATATCAAAAAAAAGTGTTATTATGAATAATTATGAATCAGGTGGACTTAACTTTCTGGATTTCTCTACCCTAAATAACACATTTAAAATTAAATGGGCTAAACACTTCCTTAAGAATCCAACCTCTATCTGGAACATTATACCACAACACATTTTCTCATGCTTTGGTGGCTTCAACTTTATTCTACATTGTAATTACAATGTTGAGAAACTCCCTGTAAAACTCTCATCTTTCCATAAGCAGGTGTTCTTAGCGTGGACGCTCATTTATAAACATAACTTCTCACCTCACAAATACCTCATCTGGAACAACAGAGATATTCTATTTAAAAACAGGTCCCTCTATCTTGAAACCTGGGTTCAAAATGGAATTTTACTGGTGGCTCAGCTGATTAATAAAGAAGGACGATTAATCAATTACAATGAATTCTGCTCGATATATAATTTTCCAGTTAGTATCCAGGAATTCTCCATGGTGGTTAAGGCTGTACCTTTGGGCACCTTAATGTTGTTTAAAAACACTAATTATACTCTGTCTGTTCCTCCTTTTATCCCTGCTCTAACCGAATCATCTGTGGGAAAAAGATGTTTTTCAATGGAGTTTAGGAAAAGCAATGAGAGAATACGCAGATTGTTCCAAGAACTTACTGTTTCTCGTCCAGCCATAACATTTTATTGGAGCCGTTATATCCCAGATATTCACTGGAAAACTGTTTGGATGATCCCCCATAAATATTTAATTATAAACAAGGTGAAGGAAGTGTCATTTAAAATTCTCCATAAAATTTACCCTGCTAAACATTATATGATAAAATATAAACGCGACATAAACACTAATTGCACTTTCTGTGAGGGCCATTCAGAAACTGTGACACATCTTTTTTGGCTCTGCCCTGTTATACAAAGGTTTTGGTCTGAATTTAGCAGGTTTATTATTGACCATATCTTAAACAATTTTTCTTTATGCTGGGAAAATGTTTTATTTTGTTTCTATAGATTTCATAGAAAGGTTGCTGATCATTTCTTTATAATAAACTTACTAATACTCTTTGCTAAATATTATATTCATAAATGCAAGTTTGCTAATAGGACACCTTGTTTTTCTTTTTTCATTAAAGATATGGGTCTATATGTCAAATCAATAACAGACTCTACAAATCAAAAGGCTCAAAGGACAATCTCGATATGTACGTCTTTGCATGTTCTTATCTAATCACCCCTGGTTGTATTGCTTGAATGTTGTATTGTTCATTATACTGTTTGTTGTATACTAATTTCATTTAAATAAAGTTCATTGGAAAAAAAAAATCTTAAACTGTGATAATGGAGCATTTTCACTCTAACTTCACTCATTTCTTACTTCGCTTTGTGTTTTGAAGCTCTGCTTGTTTGACTTTTACGTCAGGTCGGTTCGTTTTACGGCAGCAGCCCCTGTTTTACGACATCCCGCCATTTTGTATTGTGGAGAATTCTAACTGCTTTGCTGAACACATCCAGCCACTCGGCCCGCTTTGCTCGCTGCTTCTAAGCTCTGAACGGTTCTGTTGGGTCCGCTGCGGCGCTGGTTCGGGAGAAGAAGAAGGAGACCCGCGAACACCGAGGCTTCCTCCTCAGGTCGATGGTGAGAAAGTCCCCGAACACCGGAGGAGAGAAGGTAAGAGCAACGCTTCAGCGCGTGTTAGCATTGTTAGCATGGCGGCTAGCTGACTGAAGCAGCCTCAGTGACGGATTCTTTCATTAGAGGAGCTGCAGATGTTCAGACTGCTGCTGGTGTGAGGGCCCATGATTATGATGATGATGATGATGGCAGCAGATACACCATTGTGTTTCTGCTAACAGTTAGCTTCCCTTAGCAGCTCTGACATGTTAGCTCTCTCTGTTCGGACTTCCTGTTTGGGTTTTTCAGTGAAAGATGACCCAGTTCCTCCCACCGAACCTCTTGGCCCTGTTTGCGCCTCGAGACCCGATCCCCTTCCTCCCCCAGCTGGAGAAACTCCCCCACGAGAAGCACCACAACCAGCCGTACTGTGGCATCGCTCCGTTCATCAGGCACTTCGAGGTAATTAATGCTGCTTCTGGACCTCATTGATCCTCAGGGTTCTGCCGCCGGACCTCAGGGTTCTGCCGCCGGACCTCATGGTTCTGCTGCTGGACCTTCAGGGTTCTGCTGCCGGACCTCAGGGTTCTGCTGCCGGACCTCAGGGTTCTGCTGCCGGACCTCAGGGTTCTGCTGCCGGACCTCAGGGTTCTGCTGCCGGACCTCAGGGTTCTGCCGCCGGACCTCATGGTTCTGCCGCCGGACCTCAGGGTTCTGCTGCCGGACCTCAGGGTTCTGCTGCCGGACCTTCAGGGTTCTGCTGCCGGACCTTCAGGGTTCTGCTGCCGGACCTCAGGGTTCTGCTGCCGGACCTCTTTGATCTGTTAATGTGGGTTCTCTCTAACCTCCATGTCTCCTTTCTTTTGGACCAGGACCCGAGGGATGCCCCCCCACCAACCAGAGCGGAGACCCGAGAGGAGCGTCTGGAGAGAAAGGTCAGAGCTTCCAGCTGATTGGACCTCAGATATTTGCTGAAGGTTTCTGCTCCATGATTGTAGCTTGAAGACATCAGCTGTAGACCTAAAGCAAAGAGAATGACTGGAGAGCAGAGGAAGCAGCTGGACTTAGGGTTTAGTAATAAAGGTCAAAACAGTCTTTAAACTTTGGTCTGGAATGACAGGAAGCCAGTTTGGTCCAGAAGGTTAGGGCTTTATGGCTCCACTCAGTCCTGAAGGTGTTCTGGTTGGATGGACCTGTCCACAGAACCAGACCAGTTCCCATCTGATTACCACAGACAGGAGGGGTTTGTATTCTAAGCAGTTTATTTCTTCCACACCAATATCCCAGGTCACTTTATAGATCCAGATCAATCAGATCATCCAGTTGTTGACTTTACAGGATTATCTACTCCTGGGTGAGCAGGCAGCGACAGTGGAGAGGAAAAACTCCCTTTGAACCGGAAGAAACCTCCAGCAGAACCAGGCTCAGTGTGAGCGGCCATCTGCTGAGGCCCACTGGGGTTCAAGGAGACAGAAGCAGACATAGAAAAACAAGCATAGATACAAAAGGCAACTGTCAACCAGCTCCACAGGCGGCCCCGTCCAGGAAACACACAGCCAGGCAGACGAGCTCCGAGCCAGCTCCCATGTCAGAGGATGAAGAGAGCACATCCAGTTAGTCACAGTCAGAGAAACAGGACTACACTAGAAAACAGGCCGATCTCCAACATCTAGAAACAAAGGTGTTGATGGCAGCAGCACAGCTGATATTTCTCTCCAGGATGGAGTCACAGCCAAACAGGAACAGACCAGATGAAGCTACTATGAGAAAAAGCAGAGAGAGCAGAACGTTAGAGATTGAACTAACAGATTCTGCAGAGTGGGAGAATAGAGATAGAATGAAGCAGAATGATGAAAAAGGGGTCCCTATGTCCTCCAGCAGTCTAAGCCTATAGCAGCAGAACTATAGAGATAGCTCAGGATAACCTGAGCCACTCTAACTAGAAGCTGCCCTCTTAGAAACATCTGAACCAATCAGATTTTATTATTGAATCTGAAAATAATTCCAGTAGTTCTTTATGTGCTGTAAAAAGGAATAAATAAAATGATCTGCATGTCATTCATGTTAAACAAACCAAAAACAAATAAATCTCATATCCTGTTAACTGAGTTGTAGAATCCTCTCCCCATAAATATTTAATTCTCTGTGAAAAAATGCTGATCATTCTTAAATGAAAAAGATCCTCGTCAAAAAGACATTGTTTAGTTTTTTTTTTATTGACAAAACAATGACAAAAATGTAACTAAATGAGGAAGTAAAACAGTGTGATTGGCTGTAAGGAGAGCGGAGACAGAGGGAACTCTGTAATGCTTATTACTATGGGTATGCTGGCCTGACGCCGTATGCTGAGCTGATAGAACACCGGTTCTCCCCCGGCTCTGTCTCGGCCCCATGAGGACGGCGGCCGCTCTACCTGAGCATGTGTGGCTGAAACAGTCATGTTTGTTTTCTGTTTTCCAGAGGAGGGAGAAGATCGAGAGACGTCAGACGGTGCTGGAGACGGAGCTGAAGCTCTGTAGGTTTCTAACACAGACACCAAACTGTTTCTGTCCTTCTGCTCTGTTCTGACCATGCTTCTCTGTTGGGCCGCAGGGGACCCTCATAATGACTCCAACGCACAAGGAGATGCCTTCAAGACCTTGTTTGTTGCTCGAATTGTAAGTAAGAAGAACAGATTGTCTTTCTATTCAAACTGCAAACATGTCACCGTTTGAACGGAGATCTTTGTGTTTCTGACAGAACTATGATACGACAGAGTCCAAACTGCGGCGCGAGTTTGAGGTCTACGGCCCCATCAAACGGGTAGGTCAGCTTCTGTTTCCCGCGGCTCTATGTGAGGAGCTGTTAGAACCTGTTCTCAGTCTCCGTCTGTCCTGCAGATCTATATCGTCTACAACAAGAGGACAGGAAAGCCCCGAGGCTACGCTTTCATTGAGTACGAGCATGAGCGGGACATGCACTGTGAGTAGCAGCCCTTCTGGATAGCCTCAGCCTTACTGTAGTACCTGGGGGGGAGGGTCAGAGTGTGCGTGACGCCCAGTGTGCTGCCTGCCTGTCTGGTCTGTGTGCCTGATGCCTGTGGACAGGAAGCAGAGTGTGCTCTCTATCTGTCAACCTGAACATGTTTGCTTGTCAAAGGCCAAACTGTCTTTAACTGTGAGGCGTTGTAGTTCAGTGGAAGAGCTGTTCTCCCGGTGGGACGGATTGGTAAGCAGAAGGTGGAGCTGAACTCTGGTCACGGTGCGCCTGTTCATTAAACCAGGTATCGGTTCGGACCTCTGGGCCCAAAGGCTGCCGTCTGCTTCCTCAGCGATCCCTGCAGGGACCCGTCTGGACCGGGCCGGATCCACGAGCCTCGCTCTGCGGACCGGTTCTCCTTGTTAGCTCTTCCTCCACGGGTTCTGAATGAATGGGCTGAACCGCGGTTCTGCTCATTGATTGGCTGCCCTGGACCATCTGGGCCTGTTTGATGTTCTGGTTCCAGCGACGCCTCTGCAGGGATCTGATGAGGCAGCAGATGCTCAGCTGGACAGCATCTCCACCAGACCAGCGATGGTGCAGTCAGGCCTCCTGGACCAGAGTTGCCGTAGCGATGGGAGGGGGAGTACGGGGGGATGTGGGGCTCAACAGTATATTAACTGTGTGTTGTTCTCATTGCCACTGCAGCCGCCAATCTGTGATGGCTATTGGCCAGAGCTGGCTGGCAGATGATGATGGTTATGATACATCTACACCCTACTACCACAGCTCAGTATATGGTTGGTATAATGGGTTTGTATGATGGGTAAGATTTTTTTCCACCCTCCCATCTCCTACATAGGGAAGTGGAGCGGCGTTCAATGGGTAAAGCGTCTCTGTCGGCCCCAAACGCTTTTCCTTTAACACCATGTGGACTCCAGGCTTTGGCCATTGAACGCTCCCCTCACACTAGTCTGCTGAGACGTTTCCCAAAGACTCCGCCCTCTGGGCTAAAGCCACTTCATGATGATTAGCGTACCAAATCATTCTGCTTTTGGTCCCTGTGACGTCATGAGGGCAGATGGTGGGATCCACTTTAAAGGCGGGTTTATCTCCATCAGAGCTGGACGCTGCCGCACTGACGGCGGCCTGGTTCGGGTCAGCGGTTTGCGTTTCCACAGCTGGTCTGTTTATTCCCTGGATTGCTAATTGCCCGTTGGTAGTACGGGGTGGAATTTAAGCCACTTTCCGCCATATTGGTACTCCCTAGTTAGACCAGCCGCAATGTAAACAATCTGTGTGCTGCAGCATCGAACAACCAGGATGTTCTCATTTTCAGGGGGAATTAAGACTTTTAAAATAAAGATAAATTCATCACTTTGATACAGACTGAATGTTTCATAGCAACAGTAGATTAACTTTAACTTAGAATAAAATAAATAGGCCTGTCACATTGCATCATTGTAAAGTCTATAAATTATGTAATATAACATATTATTCAAAAAAAAATAAATAATATATATATATATATATATATGGGTTATATGTCTGAGTTGCTTTTTTTCTGTTAATATAACCTGCAATATGTTTTAGTTCATGACTTTTTTAAATGAGAAATAAACCCAAACGCTATAAAAACCTGTGGAACGTCTTCCTGCAGCAGTTTTAGCAGCTAAATGCTGCAGTGGGAGGCATTATCACTGCATGGCTCTGTGGGAGTGGGGAGGACCAACATGGCGGCTGGTGGCTTACCTTTTTTTAGGCTATCATCAATCCAGTGAGATCAGGTTTCCACCAGCAGCGTGTTCAGGCTTTCACTCAGAGCCGGGGGAGGGGGGAGCAGGATGGTTTCTGAACTTACAGCAGCTATTTACTAGTTAATTACAGAGAAGAAGGAGGTTTTATTTTAGAGTTTGTCTGCAGTCAGCGAGGAGTCGACCGATCAACCCGTTCATCCAGAACCATCATTCTGAGCGTCGCTTTGATAAACAGGATCTGGTCTGTTCTCAGTGATTCGTTGTGAAAATCTCAAACTGCTTCATCTGTTCTGGAGCCGTGTCCAATCAGAGCAGGGCGAGGCGGTTCTAGTGTAGAAGCACGGAGGGCTTGATGTCTGTGGTATGGTTGGACCTGAGGCCAGGATCCTCTCTGTCCTCCGTCACTCGTTCTGACGTGTTCAGCTGCTGTGAGGCGCGCTGACGTCTGCCGGGTTTCCCACTTTAACTGCGACTGCACTCAGGGTGGAAACCAGCAGATAAAAGTACGTATAGGAGGGATTTCTAATGTTTATATTTGGTTCAGCTGTTTGGAACCTCCTACAGCGGTCCTGATCTGGCTTTAGTCCAAGGTGCAGATGAGGGGAACTCCTTGATAATTCCTTCATTATTTCTGACATTAGGAATCAGGCCTACTTCCTGCAGCCACAGTTCAGCCCTGACTGATCCACTCATCCAGCTTTTCCACCAAAGCGGTTCCACCTGTCAGCCCAGCCTGGTGCTACAGCTCTGCAGAAACACATCTTCATAGGTTTCCTCTCTTCCTCCTGCTGTGTTTTACACAGCATGTAAGCTTGGCGGCGTACGGAGCGCATTGAACCACGTTTACCTGCAGACGCCAACGCCTCCTCAATGGCGTTCAGAGAAAGGAAAGGAAAGTCTGGCAGCTGTTAGGACCAGAGATTATGGATCAGGAGAAAAAATAACCGTCTGGAAGATGCTGACCTGTAACCATGACAACCGTGTAACATTGAGCAAATTACTAGCTGTAGCCCTCCTCTCCCACGGTCCTTTACTAATATAAAGTTCTTCAGGGAACCACTGATTGAGACCAAAGCCGATGACCTCAGAGGTCGTCTGAAGGTCAAACCTCCTCCAGCTCTCGATGGAACCGCTCTGTGACGTGAGCTGGAGAACTGGTTGCTTCCTCAGCTCCAGCATCAGATCAGTACTGGAACCGGTTTGGTGGAAACTGCTCCTGAGAGATTTCAGGCCTAACATCAGGCCTAAGAGACAGACCCCCCTCCCCCCAACACCAAACCAAACCTCCACACGATGAGAATTAGCTAAGGGAGTTTCTAACAATCACACACGCCCACATACATGCATCTCCTCTGCTCTGCTGTAAAGCATGTGAGTCAGAAGCAGAAGTGTAAGCCAGCGGGGGTCTGAGAGCAGCTGCCAAACACAACTAAACAAGCTAGTCCACCTCTATTGCTCCCATTTGTCCCGTTTTCTTCAGTCGTTCAGTTTGTTTGGGAACAGTGGGGGTGTGGTAAGGCCCTACAGGTGAGGGTGGGGGTCTGGGGGGTTAAGGCCCCTGGCAGACGTGTGGTCCTGGTAACTGTGGTGAACCTGACCTTTGATGGGGTTCTGGAGTATTTGGACGGACCAAGTGAATTGGTTTGGTAACGTCCTCTGACTGCCTTTGATTGGAAACTGATAAAAGACTGATCAAACGACTTCAATGGTTTACAGAATAAATTAGCTTTAGTTTATCAGTCAAACGTGAACCTTAAAATCAAATTTAAATGTCAAATCGTTCTGGCTTAAACATGTATATAAATGTTCCCTTTATCAGACCATATTGTCCCAAAATTTAGAACATTTCTATAGTTAGTTCTACGTCAGCCTGAACACCTAAATTCAGCCAATCATATATCAATGGTCATCTGTCAATCAAATGTTTTCGGTCATAGCATCTTGATCCATGTGTCGCAGCTAATATACGCAACGGTTGAAACCAGAATCCTTTCCTTTCCCATTGAGTTGCGTCCCAGTGTTCACGGGGATGGACGTCTGTGTCTTCGGCAGGCGTAGAGCTAACAGAACTGGCAGCGTTGCGAGGCAAGGGCTCAAACATGGACGGCTGGAAGCCTTCTACACCAAACCAAGCTTCTGCCGCCCTGGCGTCCTCTTCCACAACATCTTCGTCCCCGCTTTCCTCCTCTAAATAAAAAATGGATGTCGGAGGAGACTCATCCACGACCTCCGACACTAAACTCTCCTCCTCTTGCATGTTTCCGCTGTCCATAGCGTTCCTTGACAGCGTCGTTTCTAAGTCACCAATTTAGTGCTACTTGGTCCCAATGGAATTTCCCATTGGGAACCTGCTAGCACTAAGATGCTAACTGGTTAGCAAGATGCTTCCAACAAACCGGCTACAACTAAACATGCTTGCGAACCTTCCCCCAAAACAATCCCGCCCCCTTGATAATCGACCAATTACATTCACTTTATTCACTCGTGTAAAGTCGGGCACCACTGGGAGAATTCAGAAATGCAACGGTTGGAACGGCCGCTTCTCTACGAGTTTAAAGATTAAATAATTTAGAACTGAAAGACACTCTTTCCGACTGAGTATTAGGGCTGGGCTAGAGAATAACGTCGTAGCGTGACGAGCACAACGTCGTGACGAGCACAACGTCGTGACGAGCACAAAGTCGTGACGAGCATAAAGTCTTGACGTGACCAGGGTAAACGCGTAAAGTTAAGAGAATAGTCATAGCCAATAGTCACTCTTCCAAAAATCCCTTTCTTCCCTAAAATGAGGAATGTAGAGCATCATGTGAAGTTCTACTTTGGCATCAGTTTGACAAATAAGGAAATCTTTTAGCAGCACTGTCAAAGTGGTTGCTGATTGGAGGAGCTGGTCGGCCGTCGGAGCTCCAAGCTTTATTTCTGGAACCGGTTGTGGTTTGATGACTTTATTCTAAAAACATCTCTACCCTGGCCCTAATACTCTGTAGAAACTCTTGATCCATCAAAACAGAAATTTACCTTGCATGAATGAGTTATTGCATAGCAGCAATATAACTCTTTGAATTTCTCTTCAGTCTCTGTTTATTTGCTCACTTTTAGACTCATTAATCATCATGTCTCATCCTCTGACTCGTGCCTCTAAGTGGGACTTGATGGCTTTGGATAAATTTAGGCCCCAGAAACCGTTGCTTTAGCAGCCGTTGTAGGTTTCTCTTAGTCTGCTGCCTAATTGATCAATGAGTAGCCGGTGTCTGGAGGCTTTACGTCCAAATGTAATGTATCAGTCACTCATCTGGTGGAAGGAAGTCTACTCCCATTATCCTTCGGCTTTTGCCCAGAGAGCAGCCGTCTTGGCTTCACCTGCTCCTGGTCAGTATAATAATCCACTGTTTTCCTCCCTTGGCCACATTGTTGCAGGTTTCCTCCAGTCTAATCTCTGCCTCTCCTCTCTCCGCTCTTCTACAGCCGCCTACAAGCACGCCGATGGGAAGAAGATCGACGGCAGACGAGTGCTGGTGGACGTGGAACGAGGACGCACCGTCAAAGGATGGCGTCCTCGCAGGCTAGGTCAGCTGGGCTTTCTGCCTACGGTGCTTCTGGGTGTCAGGATAGATATAGATAGTTTAGATACTCAGTGACTCCTTTAGATAGACAGATTACATTGATTCAAGGCATAAAGGATGAAGGGAGTCATCTGGTGTTGAACCATTTGGCAGCCAATGGTTTCTGTAGCACCTTAAAATAGCCGTTGCACCAGACGCTGAACTTTCTATGGATTATTTCTATTCTGGGCGTAAACATAGAGTATTCATAACGAGGACAGAACTTCTGTCCAACAGCCTAACTTCTGCATAACACACGGCAGCGTAATGCCCAGAAAATGATGAACAGTTTAATGTGGGGGGCAGCGATGCGACCAGCCTGCAGAAACAGGTATTCTATTCAGTTTATTTCTATAGCACCAATTCCCATCATGTCATCTCGGGTCACTTTCCAGTTCACCAGATCATCCAGTCAGATTGATTCAAAGTTTTCTATCTAAGGAAAACCAGCTGATTGCATCGACTCATTGACTCTTCAGCAATCCCTCACACTAAGCATGCTTTTAGCGACAGTGGAGAGGAAAAGCTCCCTTTGAACAGGACGAAACCTCCAGCAGAGGATGAAGGGAGCACATCCGGTTAGTGACAGTCAGAAAAACAGGACTACACTGAAGAAGATTTCTCCAAACTTTGCAGTCGTGGTATTAACCTAGCTGCGGTTTACCACCTGCCAAAAAAAAAGAAAGGTTTCTGGTGTCAGCAGATTGAGCGTCATGTCTGCTAGGAAGGTTGTTGGTGGTGGGCGTGAACGCAGGGAGGATCCATCACTCACCTTCTGGCTCACCCTATGATGGGGATGAAGTCTGGAGGAGAACTGACGGTTTCCTCCTGTGAACCCCCTTTATACCAAAACGCTGCCAATACGCCATTATACAGTAGCTGGACGTTAGAAACACGTTCAGCGCTCGTCTGGAACACGGCAGATACGCTGATATGTTGGAGAGAAGTTCTGGATAAGTCACGCAGAAGTTACTCAGAGGTTTAGGATCAGCTAGACGCCACGACTGATGAGGAACCGACACTGAACGGATGTCGACCATCAGATAACTGACATGGAACATGTGGGGAAATTTGAAGCTGAAATTTGATGTCTAAAGTATTTGCTCTTATGCGTTGAAGAAGCCCTGTACAGGTGCTGGTCATAAAATTAGAATATCATGAAAAAGTAGATTGATTTCAGTAATTCCATTTAAAAAGTGAAACTTGTATATTATATTCATACATTACATACAAACTCATATATTTCAGATGTTTATTTTGTTTAATTTTGATGATTACAAATGACAACAAATGAAAATCTCAAATTCATCATATCAGAAAATTAGAATATTACTGAAGACCAATAAAAACAAAGGATTTATAGAAATGTTGGCCAACTGAAAAGTATGAACATGAAAAGTATGAGCATGTACAGCACTCAGTATTTAGTTGGGCCTCCTTTGGCCTGTATTACTGCAGCAATGCGGCGTGGCATGGAGTCGATCAGTCTGTGGCACTGCTCAGGTGTTATGATAGCCCAGGTTGCTCTAATAGTGGCTTTTAGCTCTTCTGAATTGTTGGGTCTGGTGTATTGCATCTTCTTCTTCACAATACCCCATAGATTTTCTATGGGGTTAAGGTCAGGAGAGTTTGCTGGCCAATTAAGAACAGGGATACCATGGTCCTTCAACCAGGTACTGGTAGCTTTGGCACTGTGTGCAGGTGCCAAGTCCTGTTGGAAAATGAAATCTGCATCTCCAAAAAGTTGGTCAGCTGCAGGAAGCATGAAGTGCTCTAAAACTTCCTGGTATGTGGCTGCGTTGACCCTGGACCTCAGAAAACACAATGGACCAACACCAGCAGATGACATGGCACCCCAAACCATCACTGACTGTGGAAACTTTACACTGGACTTCAAGCAACGTGGATGAAGTGCCTCTCTTCTTTTCCTCCAGACTCTGGGACCTTGATTTCCAAAGGAAATGCAAAATTTACTTTCATCAGAGAACATGACTTTGGACCACTCACCAGCAGTCCAGTCCTGTTTCTCTTTAGCCCAGGCAAGACGCTTCTGACGCTGTCTGTGGTTCAAGAGTGGCTTGACACAAGGAATGCGACAGCAGAAACCCATGTCTTTCATACGTCTGTGTGTGGTGGTTCTTGAAGCACTCACTCCAGCTGCAGTCCACTCTTTGTGAATCTCCCCCACATTTTTGAATGGGTTTTGTTTCACAATCCTCTCCAGGGTGCGGTTATCTCTCTTGCTTGTACACTTTTTTCGACCACATCTTTTCCTTCCCTTCGCCTCTCTATTAATGTGCTTGGACACTGAGCTCTGTGAACAGCCAGCCTCTTTAGCGATGACCTTTTGTGTCTTGCCCTCCTTGTGCAAGGTGTCGATGGTCGTCTTTTGGACAACTGTCAAGTCAGCAGTCTTCCCCATGATTGTGTAGCCTATAGAACTAGACTGAAAGACCATTTAAAGGCTTTTGCAGGTGGTTTGAGTTAATTAGCTGATTAGAGTGTGGCACCAGGGGCCATCAATTTTGAACCTTTTCACAATATTCTAATTTTCTGATATGATGAATTTGAGATTTTCATTTGTTGTCATTTGTAATCATCAAAATTAAACAAAGTAAACATCTGAAATATATGAGTTTGTATGTAATGTATGAATATAATATACAAGTTTCACTTTTTAAATGGAATTACTGAAATCAATCTACTTTTTCATGATATTCTAATTTTATGACCAGCACCTGTAAGGTTGTTTTTGCTCTTTATAATTGTCCGTTTGTCACAAAAGGTGAAACCTCAGAATCTATTGACAGTATCTGATAAAGTTCAGCAAAAAACGAATGATCTTTGGACCTAAAATGGCCGACCTCCTGTTGGTTGGAGGACAGACTTTGAGGATGTTTTTGTTGTTGTTGTTTTATTTCCTATTTGCTAAATTCAACATGTCTGCCGTAACTCTGTGCAGGAGGAGGATTGGGAGGTACGAGGAGAGGCGGAGCTGACGTCAACATCAAGCATTCCGGTCGAGACGATGCGTCGCGTTATGACGACCGCTCACTGGGAGGGTGAGTGGTTCTCCTCACAGATTCAGGTCGCTTAAACCAGACATTTTCCTAATGGCTTCTGTTGGTTCTTCTGACGCAGCGACCGCGGAGAGCGAAGGGAGCGCAGTCGGGACCGCGACCGTGACAAGGACAGAGAACGGCGGAGAACCCGGTCCCGCGAAAGGCGCCGGCACACCCGCTCCAGGGAGCGAGAGAGGGAGAGGGACAGAGGAGTTGTAGCAGCTGAAGATGGCGGCGGTAGCAGCCGGCGTCGAGAGAGGGACCGCGAGCGTGGGGCAACAGGAGGAGACAGCAGGAGCAGGGAAAGAAGTAGGGACCGAAAGAGGAGGAGCAGGAGCAGGGACCGCAAGCGAGACAGGGAGAGAGCCAAAGGCCTGGACGGGGAGGAGGTTAGCCAGGGAGACGGCGCCACAGAGGCTGGGGAGCGCGTGCAGGAGCACGAGGGAGGGGGGCCTGATGGGACAGAGGAGCGCAAAGACAGGGACAGAGATAGAGACAGGGACAGAAGGCGGAGCCACAGGGACAGAGACAGACGCAGGGAGCGGGACAGAGACAGGGAGCACAAGAGGGAGCGTGGAGACAGGGACAGGGAGCGGAGAGAGGACCGCCACGGCTCCACGCGAGACAACACAAGCCCCCAGGACAACGTGGCCAACGAGGAGGAGGGGCCTCCAGCTAACATGGAGGAGTACAGCCAGGACGGGATGATGGACCAGCAGTCGGCCGAGGACTACGCTTCAGGCGAGAACGGCTTCAAGATGGAGGGCCAGGGGGACGAGTACTGAGCCGCTCCTCCATCAGCGTCCTTGGACTGCGCCCAAAGCCTTCATTCCTCCAGGGCTTCCTGTCCGTCATCCGCCTCTCCTGTTGCACGAACAGTCGACTCATTTAAATTTCATTCAAACACCTGTCCTGCATCGCCCCAGCTGTGTGCCACCGATGTAATCCCAGTACCTTAATGATCTTTATTTGTCTTTGTGGGGGGGGGGGGGGGGGGTCCCGCTTATGGTTTGGTAGGAAATTGTCAGCAGAAGAAGAACGGGACCTGAGTTAGTTTGGGTTAGTTTGCGTTGAAGGCTGATGCCGCTGTTGGAGGATGTGTGGGAGCTGCACATCGGTCTGACGGCTCGGGTCTTTTTTTAATCAGCTCTTTCTAGATTTGCAAGGTAATTTTAATAAAGATGTGGCTGAACAGCGAAACTCCGCTTTGTCTTTCCTTCTCTGAAACCTCGCCAGCGTTCACTTCCTGCTCCGGCTGCGTCCGCAGAGGTTCTAAGAACCCGCCGGCCGCTGCGGCTACCGGATCTGCTTCATGCTAGTGACGCTACGCTACATGATTGGCTGAACGTTGCCACATGATGTAACGCACCATGGTTGCCCTGACAACAATAACATCATGCAGAGTGGAGAGCATCTGTAGCGTTAGCGTGTCTAATAACCGATGACGCTTTACCTTATTAACAAAACGGTGAACAAACTGTTAGATATAAAGAGCTGGGTAGCGCTGTGGCTAACAGGTTAGCCTATATTAGCTCGGTCAGTAGGGGTCTACGATGTCACTATATATTACAACACTTTTCCCAACTATGAATGTATAGATAAAACAGCGAGGACTGATCGTGTTCATCAGGAGGTTTTGATCATGTAGTCATCTTGGCATCCATGTTTGGGGTTGTAGTCCGACCACATCTTCCACTGTGACGGCCCCAACTACAGATATGGCGCCGCTCAGCAAAAGGGCTCCACAGCGCCATCTATCAGCAGCAGTGCAGAGGTGTTCAGTTTTCCCTCATTGATTTTAAAATTAATGCTAGGTACTGAAAGATATATCCCCACACACACACAGCTATCGGCCAGTTAGCCAAATTAAGCTACGTTACTTTTAACCTCATGTCAACAAAAACCTTTTGTTTTCTATAAGTAGAATAACTGCTTCCTTTGTTTGACAGTAATTTTTAGGTTGTCTCATTTGTCCTCTGCCCTCAGATCTCAATAAAAAGGATAAAATAAGCTTTTGTGTCACCTCGGTAAATCACAGAGAAGGCAGCACTTTCCATCCAGACTGGCAATTATTTTCTATCAGCTACTTTAGATCGCCCATGAAATGTAAAATAATACCAAATATAGGTAATAATATGTTGAGACTCAAAAAGATTTGATCCTTTCAATAACGGGTGCGGTACAGTTTGTCCGAGGGGTGTTGCCATATGATGACATCTTAGGAAGGGTAATGGCGCTGAGCAGATCTGGTACCTACCTGCTTCGTCCTGATTTTAATTAGGAAAAGGTCATTTCTTTGGTTAGTAGAGCCGCCAGGGGCCTGAACTCTGCTCCCATCCAGGCCTGTTGGTTATATAAGGTAGAAATTCACCTGGTAGATCTGAGGAGGTTCCTAACTAACTCCACCTGGTGTCAGTGGATCGTTCATTAGAGTATGCTGGTGAAGGTCCTCAGTCATCAAGGTCAGTCATTCCCAAACTGTTAAAAAACTATTTTAGTCTGAAGACGTTTCTCTTCCATCCAGGAAGATTTTTCAATCCAAAATGTCAGAAATAGCGTTTAGTTCCAGGTTTTATCCAGCAGCCCAACAAAGCCTGGTTTTAGTTTAGAAAACATGCAAATAGAAACAGACGTACGGGTCCCCCCCTTTGGAATGGGGGTCGCTTGGCTTCTTTGTTAGCCTGCAATGCCCCATACCTGTCTATGTCTCTGAAAGGGGGGTCGTTAGAGGGAATTACTGGTCTGGCTGAACAGGTGAGGTCTTCTGTTCTCCTGTAAAGGGGTGGAGCTGCGATGATAGCGGGAAGGAATCAACTCTATCGCTGCATTGGATGTTTTTGAAAGCTGAAATCTGAGTCCCCCCCCCTATGTTTAAGGTTGGCATCCTTCACACCCCTCTCAAACTGCCTATCCTCTCTGTCCACAATGTGAATATTCTTGAATTGAAAGCTATTTCTGACATCAGTTTTAAAATCAGTCATGAGAGCATTTTCTATCTAAGGGTCCAAACTGGTTAAAGTCAACAAATCTCGTTCAGTGAAGTGACGTTTTGACTGCAGTGGAAATAATATGAAACTTAATGAGAAAAGCAGAGAAGGTTAGCAATGTTCCCGGGATTGTTTAAACTACCAAAACCTTTAAACTTGGTAAATCAAGGTTCACTGCTCTGGATCCATGTGCCGAACTGGACGGGAGAGGGCGGTCTGCCGGACCCCGCCCATCGCCACAGGTTGGTGTACGACTCTAAAACCAGGAGAACCAGCATTCTATGCTGTAAGAATTAAATTATGAATATAAATGAAATATTTGATAGAAAAATGGCCTGTGTTCTGTAAGACCAGCTTCCCCAAAGTTAATACCTGCTTATTCCTTTAGTTTTGTACGAAAAATAAGCTTCAAACTACCTTAATGGGAGTTCAGTCATGTTCAAAACATTGGCATGTATGCATATATATACATACAGATATATACATATCTATGGATATGTATACCTGTGCTATATTTGCATGGAAAAATGATGGCGTAGCGACATCTAACTGAGCTGATTAGATCACACTAATCTTGAACACCATAAACAGACGGACGGAAATGATAGAAATTATACTTTGATTAGATGAGATTCCAAACTAGAAATGTGTTGAGAAGCAGCCTGCAGGCAGGATAAGGGTTCGAGGGCTGTAGATCCATGACTGAGCACCGAGGAGAGGGCCTTTAACAGCCTGCAACCAATTCTACCTGATATGCTGTAATTGGTGGTATTATCAAACCAGCCAATGCTTAATTAAAACACAGTCAAAGAATGGCTTTATTGAAAAAATAAATTTTCCAATTCTGAATCTCCTTGTGTCCGTTCTTAAAGATGGATTCATGCGACCAAACATCAACTTTTAAAATGTATTTTCTATTGTCCTTCCAGCTGCCGTTAAAAGTCATTGCTTTAATAATTAGCTGTTGAATGTTAATATTGTGGAGAAACAGGCAGGACCTTTGAACACGCATGGATCAGGCTGCAGGCTGGGTTCCATGTTGGTCAGGATGTCGGTCCCTGCAGGTCCTGGTCCACATTAAGCAAACCTGCAGGCTGCAAGGCTGCCCATCTGCATCTCTTCTTTTACTGCGTTCAAAAAGTGAACCAATAACATGAAGTGGAACAATATAAAATATGTTGCAACTACAGTTATGTCAATCAGATAAATCAGTACCCAGCCCTCGGACAGCTCCCGTTACCCAGCAGCCAGCCCAGCAGAGAGGCCGGACGCTGACAGCCATACAGGGTGCACACACCAACCGCTAAAACCAAAAACATCCAACTGATTAGACGGTTGTTCTAAAGCAGTAAATCACTTTCTGTTGCTAGTTAGCAGCAGAGAGTGAACAGATCGAACCTTAACATGTAGTTAACTTAGAGGACAACAGAGGAAGTAAACATTAGCAGCAATAGTAACAACAAGAGACAGATCTCTGATGTTCTGCTACATCTCCACCGTTTGTCTTAGAGACCAGAGAAGGTGGGATGTTCTACTGAGGGAGCAGAGGTCAGAGGGAGGAGAGCCAGCTGACCTGACCCTGTTCTTTATTATTCCTCCATAATTTATTATCATCTAGAGACTATTAATAGGAGGTTAACTGCAGCTCCAGACGAGCTTTGAATGTGGTGATGTCATCAGTACGCTGCTGTTCCAGGTGACCTTCAGATAATTGAGTCCATGCTCGTGTTGTAGTGAATTGAGAAACGGTCCAGGTTCTCTATCCACCTCTTTTTGTGATGTTTAATGGCGGTTGGCAAACAATTTAAAGTTTATTACCGCCACCTACTGGCAGGGATGGATTTAGGAAGTTTGGGGCCCTAGGCAAAGACAGGCAGGGGCCCCTCTGAATTAGGACTCATTATACAGATAGAGAAATGTTAATAGAATAGACAAAGGATTTTTATCAAAATCATAATGTGCATAAATAAGCAATAGTTGAATTAAACATACTGAGTTTTATGGGGCCCCTAGGAACGTGGGGCCCTAGGCAACTGTCGAGTAATGCCTAATGGTAAATAATCCCCCCCCCCCCCTCTACTGGTAGGGATTGTGGAACTAATTGAATATATTAGCAAATACTTTACTTTATATCAATAATGTCATAACCCAACATGTTATTAATCTTTGATGTTTTTCCATCTAAAAACTTTCTATTTTCTTAAATATCTTCTTTGAGTCGCTAAACTTTTCACTTCCTCAGTGATCCTGTTTTTCTCTTGTTCTTGCTCTTCATCCTCTTTCTGCTCTTCATCCTCTGGATCAGCGGATGACGTCACGGTTCTGGCTCCATCCAATCAGATTGCGGCTCTCTGCAGGCTGAAGCAGCGGCTGCAGGTGCGGGATCCGGAACCGGTCCTCCTTCCGAACCATGGAGCGCCTGGTTCTGATGCGTCAGTGAGCAGCTCACGATGATGTCCTCTTTCTACCACCCGACCAAGAAGGCGGAGATGGCGGCCATGACGGAGCCGCTGTGCCTGGAGCGAGGTAAGGCGGGGTGGGCCCTTCATCGGACATCGCTCTGACGTCATCAGGCCTGCTTTAGAGCGTCTGTTTGTGACGAAAAGCCGCCAGACTGCTGCTGTTGCTGGTCTCTGCAGGAGTCCTCAGCCTCACAGCCATAGGTCCATAGGTGGACCAGGTCCTGGTCCAGGTCCAGGTCCTGATCCAGGTCCTGGTCCTGGACCAGGATCGGGGCTCTGTGGTCATGGTGAAGCCCACCACTGACCGCAGTATGGAAAGCCGTTATGTTCAAAATTAAATAAAGAAATAAATACTGCTTTGCAGAGGCGTGCACAAATATTTTAGGGGCAGGGGCTCAGGTTGGAAAAAGGGCACCTTATAGGTGGCATGGAGCCGCCCACAGCGGAACGCCATCTGATGCTGAGGTTTAACGATCTTCCAGGTAGCAATGCCACATTAGTGGCAATTAAATCAACAACAATTTCAAATCCACCAACATATATAAACAAACCTAAAAAAAACAAAAAAAAACAATAGACTAGATTGAGATTTTTTTATATAACTTTCATTTATGTGAGAAAAAAACACATTTAAAAGGAACAAAGCAATGAAAAGATTAGGCTGTAAAACTAAAGCGCTTCTGGTTTTCATGTAATTGCTATCATAAGTCTTTAACATTGTAGGGAAATTATATTTAAATGTCAAATCATTCTGGCTTAAACATGTATATAAATGTCCTCTTTATCAGACCATATTGTCCCAAAATTTAGAAAATTTCTGTTCTAAAAAAAAATCCTGTCTTAAAATCTGTGTTTTTTCCGTTATCTTCTGCAGGCCAGTTAGTTCTACGTCAGCCTGAACACCTAAATTCGGCCAATCATATATCAACGGTCATCTGTCAATCAAATGTTTTCGGTCATAGCATCTTGATTCATGTGTCGCAGCTAATATACGCAACGGTTGAAATCAGAATCCTTTCCTTTCCCATTGAGTTGCGTCCCAGTGTTCACGGGGATGGACGTCTGTGTCTTCGGCAGGCGTAGAGCTAACAGAACTGGCAGTATGGCAATTTGCAGATTAACTAAGATTTACATTTAAAATATGAAAATAAACTATTATCTATTATCTTAGAACCTTATTAAAGTTATTTTTACGAATTGTGATAATTTGGCCTTTTGTTTGCTGTTAAATGAAATCTTAACCAGACTTCTGTCCTGTAAGTCAAATATAAATAACATCGATGAGATGCTTTAAATATTTCTATTTTCTAATTTAATCAAAGAGTTGCATTTTAAGCGGTTGCTTGTTGCCTGGTAGAGGCCATTAAAGATGAAGGTAAATACGCTTGGTTACCTGGACGCTTCAGCAGAGCGCGGCTCTATTGAGGTGGTGCTACACGTCTGGTGGTGCTAAATTAAAAAGATCTAGACTTTTAGTTTGATAGGATTTTTAAATTAGTAAAATGCTATTTGGGGTCAAAGTCTATAAAAACACAAAAAAATGATTTCAGGAGGAAACTTTTTTTTTTCCAGAGGGGAAAAGGGCAGGTGCTGTAGCGCCACCTAGTGTCTATGTGAGCATGTCCCTGCTGCTTTGACTGTCAATAAATATCCCCATTAAATAAAAAAAATGCTAAAATATTTTCATCTTATTTTCTTTTTTTTTCTATTTCAAGATTTTTTACTAATTCAAATATTTATTCATTACTTTATGCATTTTATTACTTATTTTATCATGGAGTATTACTTTGCGACACTTTTATTTTGTAAAGACGGGGGCAGGAGATGGGGACACCAAGAAAAGGGGAGGGGCTAGAACCCGGCTGTTCCAGTTTGTCTCTGAGACGGCCTGGACTGGGACCAGTTCAAGGTTTTTATCTTACTGGTAAATGTTGATTCCTCTCATGGCAGAGATGCTTCTGGGTGTTAATTAGTGAGCAGGGGACCCACCTGTCCACCTCACCCTGCCTCACCCTGCCTCGCCCCGCCCTGCCTTGCTTCACCCCGCCCCGCCTCGCCCCGCCCCAACTCGCCTCACCCCGCCCTGCCTTGCCTCACCCCGCCTCGCCCCGCCCTGCCTTGCTTCACCCCGCCTCGCCCCGCCCCAACTCGCCTCACCCCGCCCTGCCTTGCCTCACCCCGCCCCGCCTCGCCCCGCCCTGCCTTGCTTCACCCCCGCCCCGCCTCGCCCCGCCCCAACTCGCCTCACCCCTCCCTGCCTTGCTTCACCCAGCCTCACCCTGCCCCGACTCGCCTCACCCCGCCCTGCCTTGCTTCACCCAGCCTCGCCCTGCCATGTCTTGCCTCACCCCGCCCTGCCTTGCTTCACCCAGCCTCGCCCTGCCATGTCTTGCCTCAGCCTGCCCTGCATGAACAACCCAGCAATCCGCCGGTCGGACCCAGACCTGCCGGCCCGGACGGTGACCATGCGATCACAGCAGGACGGTTTATATCTATATAAAGATCTATCTTTTTAGATCTTATAACCAGGAGCATCACAGCTGGGTTTTGACCCACAGGTCCAGGTTGGCATCAGGGTTTTTGTTTCTGAAGGTTTGTTGCCAGTTTTTATGATGTTTTCCCTGAGAAACCCAGATGAGCTCACTCCAACCGTTGGACCTTCGTCACCTGAAGGGTGACCTCAGACTGAGGAGCAGGAAAGCAGGACGGGGCGGCGGTAACCTGCAGTAACCCAGGGTTGTGTTTCAGATGTGTGCAGGGTGATCGAACTGCTGGACCGGCTGCAGAGAACCGGGGAGCTGCCTCCTCCCAAGCTGCAGGCCCTGCAGAGAGTCCTGCAGAGCAAGTTCTGTGCCGCCATCAGGGAGGTACGCATGACCACGGTCCTAAAGATGCTCCGGTTCCTCCTGTATTCATGTTCTGACCTGGAAACGCCTCTCCATGTTTCTCCTCATCCATGAACACCTTGCTGTGATTTAGGGTCCGACCCACAAACCTGCACATCTAGTCCTCTTTCTAAACCAGTGATTCCCAACAGGGGGTACTCGTACCCCTAGGGGTCCACCAGTGAACTGCAAGGGATTCATAAAAATACTCTATTACTTTGGTAGTGAAATAAAATAGGGTTATAGGATGTGATCTGCTTTGTGAAGACCCAATTAAAAAATTAAACAAGCTTTATTTGACCAAAAAGTAGGTTATTCCTCTATGTTTGAGTTCACCTTCAGCTTTGACACAGTAGGTCAGGGATAAGCGGAGCATGGTCCGGATCCGGACCCAACCTGATTTAAAACATTTATAAATTACTGCATGTTGTCCGGCGACAGTGTCTAACTTGTGCCTCTTCTCCTGTTAATACGGTAAAGCCCTGGGGAGCGTCCGGCTCCAGGCTGCACGTGATCCAAATGAGCCAATGAGCTGTCAGTCTGGGTTGCTGCTGCTAGAGTCCTGCAACGGGTCGGGTACCCGCGGGTACCCGACGGGTGAAAAATACATTAATAAAAATAAACGGGTCGGGCGTCGGGCAGATATTTTTTTTAGTGCAGGCGGGTAGTTGGTTATTTTTTTTTTTATGCGTGTCTATTGTTATGGACATCAGAAATGTTATTTTAATCAGGCACTGTCTGGGGTCACCCTTGTTGTAGCTTAAAGCCCTGCTGGCAGTGTGGGCTTCCCTCCAAAAAGGCCACAGTCAGTGCATACACGTCTGCTGCAGTGTTAATGGCGCTGCTCTGCAGCGCAGCGTACTATAGCCTATTACTTGAAAGAAAGAAGAAGACCATGAGAAAAAGAGAGCAGAGAAAGTGTGGAGGAACTTTCCAGTTCACCAGATCATCCAGTCAGATCGATTCAAAGTTTTCTATCTAAGGAAAACCAGCTGATTGCATCGACTCATTGACTCTTCAGCAATCCCTCACACTAAGCATGCTTGTAGCGACAGTGGAGAGGAAAAACTCCCTTTGAACAGGAAGAAACCTCCAGCAGAACCAGGCTCAGTGTGAGCGGCCATCTGCTGAGGCCCACGGGGGTTCAAGGAGACAGAAGCAGACATAGAAAAAGAGAAACAGGACTACACTGGAAAACAGGCCAAGCTCCAACATCTAGAAACAAAGGTGTTGATGGCAGCAGCACAGCTGATATTTCTCTCCAGGATGGAGTCACAGCCAAACAGGAACAGACCAGAAAAAGCAGAGAGAGCAGAACGTTAGAGATTGAACTAATAGATTCTGCAGAGTGGGAGAATAGAGATAGAATGAAGCAGAATGATGAAAAAGGGGTCCCTATGTCCTCCAGCAGTCTAAGCCTATAGCAGCATAACTATAGAGATAGATCAGGATAACCTGAGCCACTCTAACTAGAAGCTTTATCAAAAAGGAAAGTTTTAAGCCTAGCCTTAAAAGTAGACAGGGTGTCTGCCTCACGGACTAAAACTGGTAGTTGGTTCCACAGGAGAGGAGCCTGAGAACTAAAAGATCTGCCTCCCATTCTACTTTTAGAAATTCTAGGAACCACTAGTAAACCTGCAGATTGAGAGCCAGAGCTGTTTCAGTGCTCTGATGAGCTCTAAAGCCAGACTGAAACTCTTCAAAAAGTTCATTATGGTGGAAGTGATCGCACACTTGTTTGGCAACTACTTTCTCAAGAATTTTAGATCAGAAAGGAAGATTGGATATAGGTCTATAATTGACCAAGTCATCTGGGTCAAGAGACGGTTTCTTAAGCAAAGGTTTAATTCCAGCAACCTTAAAAGCTTTAGGTACATATCCCTGTAACAGAGATAGATTAATCACATCTAGAATGGAGGAGGAGATCAAACGGAATACCTCCTTAAATAACCTGGTTGGAACTGGATCTAACATACAAGTTGAAGGCTTAGATGAAGACAATAATTTTGCTAATTCAGAGAGTTCAACTGGATCAAAGCAGTCTAAACCCGGTTCAGATTCCATGACTACCTCAGGTACAATCGCGGATAGAGGAGTGCTTATGATCTTATTTTTAATAAGATCAATCTTATTTATAAAGAATCCCATAAAATCATTGCTGCTAAGAGCAGGTGGAATGGACGGTTCAACAGAGCTATGGCTCTGGGTGAGTTTGGCAACTGGATTAAAAAGAAATCTAGGATTATTCTTATTCTCCTCTATTAATGAGGAGAAGTATGCTGCTCTTGCTTTACAAAGGGTCCTCTTATACAGCAGTAAACCATTTTTCCAGACTAGGAAGGACTCCCGCAGGCCTGTGGAGCGATATTTTCTCTCCAGTTTCCTAGCATTTTGTTTCAAAGTATGCAGCTCTGCATTAAACCAAGAAGCAAGCTTTCTATTTTTAATGGTTTTCATTTTCAAAGGATCTGCTTTGTCTAAGGCAATACGCAGAGAACTAGCAACCCCATCAACAAAATCATCAACCTGTGAAGGGGAATAAACTAAGCAAAAATAACAAACACTCAGTTCACTCAGTTGCTTGCTCAGTTGATTCTGATTCAGATTCAGGTGTTTTATAAAATATGAGAATCAGGAAATTGTCTATATACCAAACTGAAAGATTGTTGTTCTCTACTTCGGTGTTCTGTCAGATGAACATACCCAGTAAGACCAGCATACCCATAGTCAATACCCGTTTATCCCTTTAGTTTATCCCTTTAGTTTTGCACGAAAAACAGACTTTAAACTACCTCAAAGGGCAGGTATCCCTTTAGTCATGTACAACAAAACTATTTAATAACTTATTTTTTGATGTTTTTTGAAGCATATGGGGATCTGACCTTAACTTATTGTTTTTTGTACATGAATAAAGGGATACCTGTCTGTTGAGGGAGTTTAAAGTCTATTTTTCATTAAACACTAAAGGGATAAACGCAAACCTGACGTCTTGCATATTGGTATGCTGGTCTGACAGAACAGCTGCCTCCACCCGCTGGAGAGGCCACCCCGTCCCCAGCCAGTGATAGCCAGTGTTCGTGTTCTGAGGATGTTTGGGAGCCATCTTTGATGATATTATAAAAACGGGACATTAGGTTCTTCTTCTTCTAATGGGGATTTGTTGCCAGATCGTCTATAGAATTAAGAGTAGGTAAAGTTAGAGACTTCTGATTACCCAAGAGGACATTTCTGATTTGCATAAACTTTAAATGTTTAGTTGGAATGTCAAATTTCTGTTTGAAATTTTCAAAACTTACAATAATCCCTTTATCAAATGAATCTGAAATTCAATTCAATTCAATTCAGTTTATTTATATAGCGCCAAATTCACAACACATGTCATCTCAAGGCACTTTACAGTTCAACCAGATCATACAGTCAAATTGATACAAAGTTTTCTATCTAAGGAAAACCAGTTGATTGCATTGACTCATTGACTCAAATACAATCCCCCACACTAAGCATGCTTGTAGCGACAGTGGAGAGGAAAAACTCCCTTTTAACAGGAAGAAACCTCCAGCAGAACCAGGCTCAGTGTGAGCGGCCATCTGCCGAGGCCGACTGGGGTTCAAATTTTGCATAAACCTTTAGCATACCATGTTTTAAAGCCTATAGCCAATGTCACAATGCCCCAGATTGCGGAGGATTGGCATAGTGTTGGTACTCTGATAGTGTTAACAAATAAGCTTTAAGTAGTTTTTAATAACTCTGCGTTTCGTTTAGTATGGATATGCATTTAGGAATAAGGGACTGGAGTTTATATATTTTCTATATTTATGTCGTGATCTTGGCACTGATGACTGGCTTAATGGTTCATTCTATTCACCTGTCTAACTCCGCCCAGTTTCTCATTACTGTTCAGCTCATCCACCTGCTCCTGCCTCTATTTAAACAGCTTTCCCCAGTCATCAGTGCCAGATTATTTGGTAAGAGTCCTCTAGTGTAGCCTCTGTTATTCTGATTGCCTGATTCTGACTAGTTCTGCCTTTTGACCCTCGAGCCTTGAGGAACAACCATGAACCATGAAATATATACGTAAGGCTTTTTAAAAACACAATCTGCCATAGAAGCTGGAACACCCCCCCACTGTCTGGACCAGAACAGGCCAGCTGGTCCTGAGGATGGTTTCAATGCCTTAAAGATGAGCCCTTAAATATTCAGCTCCCCTTTATGTTGGGTCAGTCAAATAAAGGGTGTGAATACTTTAACTGCTTACTGTACCTCCCTGCAGCGTTCCTGCCGTTGACACTGAATGTCTTTCTTCTCTCAGGTGTATGAGCAGCTCTATGACACTCTGGATATTGTTGGAGGCCCAGAAGTCCGAGCTCAAGCAACAGCGAAGGTATTTTAGCGCCGGTTCTGCTCTCCGGGTCAACATGCTCACAGTGAGACTCTAACATCAGTCCATGATGAACGGATCCGGGTTATATTTGGATTACGCTCAGTGGAATCACTGGCTTTACTGTTTTCATTGTGTCCTTAGACGCCTTTATGCTGCTTTCACACCGGGGGCAGCAAAAGCAGCAAAATCGCGTCTGCTGCTTCATTTTTGCTGCTTGTACCAGTAAGTTCTGACGCGCGGCTGAAGCAGCTTTGCTGCTCTGCCTGCGCGGTCCAAAAGTGGCTCTGACGCGCGTTGGGCGGAGCTTCACTATCCTTTCTCTGCCTTGCAGCTATATTTGCTGTGATCAGTGGGAATAAAGTAGTTTTAATATGTTTTTAAGTGAGAAAATACACCTGAAAACGTAATCAGTGCAGTCAGTTCATCCAGATTACAATCCTGCCTTCCAATATTATTTCTGTCGGAGCCGCTCAGACCCCCACATACCAGCGGTGCGCCGACAGAAGGAATCCATTCATCAGCAGCCTCTGGCCGGGTCGCCTCCTCGCGGTTTACCGCGGCGGCTGGTAGGTGTTTTTCATCTAAATAATCCGATCTGCAGGCACCAGAATAATAAAAGCCAACATATTCTGCCGGCAGATGTATATATTTTAAGTTAATTATGCGTTAATAAACTGTTTAAGAGGAGTAATCAGAGCGGTCTGTGTCATCAGCGCTGTGTCTCTCTCCCAGCCAGCTCCCAGATCAGCTTCTCTGATTGGTTGACGCGGCGCGTCGAGCAGCAAAAATTCAATTTTTCCATCTCGAGCAGCAACGCGTTTGCGGCGCGTCACGCGCGTCAGATGCCAAAACGCGCCCGACGCGCTGCTTCAGCTGCTCAGACGCGCTGCGCTTGCTGCTCGAAACGCGCCGCGGGACCTTTTGCTGCGCCTTGACGCGCGTCAACCATTGACTTTGCATGTAAACTCGCTGCTTCTGTCGCGCCAGCTGCCCCCGGTGTGAACGCAGCATTAGAAGTGTCATGTGACTTAGACCTTTCTAACTTGAAGGGACTTGAGATGTCAAACAATCAACAGCAGGTTTCAGTGTTGCTGAGGCGCCCGCTGTCGTTACCAGATCTGCGGGGCCCTCTGCGCCTGCCAGAGACTCTATATGATCGCCTGAATGTTTCCACAATGACGTAAGACATTACGTTTCGTCTGGACGAAGCTAACATAAAGCAGCGTGTGCCGAGTCAGGAGCAGCGAATGATCGAAGAAGTTTTACAGCAGCGGCTGCTGGAGTTTTCTCCAGGGGGGGCTAAAATTTAAAATAGATGTATACCTAAAACCAATCAAATGTATGCTAAGTTATCACACCAAAATATTTTTATGAATGCCAACAAACAATCTGGCCCTTCTGAGGCTGTGAAGGTAAATCTGTGTTTTGGTCCAATATTGAGTCACAAACCTAATAAAATTATGAACCAATTTAATAATGGAGAATCTATTAGTCAGCTTTATATCTTTAATCTATAAAAACTATTTATTTTCTGAGAATGTCTTTATTTAAGATCAACTATGCAAGTTAAACATGTAGAAAAAGTAGACTAGATTCTATTATTTTCCATGTGAATCCCAGATTGTTCATTCTTCTTTGCCTTTTCTAAAAACTGCTTTAAATCAGTCCTAGCTGCCTTTATCCAGGCTGGATCAGATTCTGACCTTTGGAAAGAAGGCAGGATAAAGTGTTAGCTTTTAACTTTGACTTATGCTGGAACCAGCTCCTGGTAAAAGTCCGGTTGTAGGATTTAGCCTTATCCTCGGTTCGCTGCGTTAAATGTATTTGGGTCTTTTCGGGTCCCGGCTCCTTTACATGGATGTTTTCCACCATCGTCCTTCTAGTGAAAGGATAACTCAGTACAGATCGCACTGAATTGTGTGAAAGCTGCTCTTCAAGTTCAGCTGTCGTCGCCATAACCTCCACCTCACTGCCTGACTGACCTCTAGCTCCATCACCTGTATCACTGTAGCAGGGGACACAACTCCAGGAGCTCAAAGCCATTCATTTCAGTGATGCTGATTGGCCAAATATTTATTCATTTTCCCATTAAGGCGGGCACACACTGGGCGATTTTTTCAATCGTTGCACGCAGCTACAGCTCAGACTGTACGACCAAACCGCAGGGTTTAAACGTTCCCAGCTCACCATGTTTGTTCTCACACTGCGACCCGACGCTCTGATGCGATCTACCTGCTCACACTGTACGTCTAAAAACCAGGTGGGACTCAGCTCCGCAGTGAGATGGCGCTACTGGGACTCGTCTATCCAGAAGCCAAACCAGTAGAAGAGGAACATGAGGCTCACTAGAGTGAAACGCGCCAGCCGCCACTGAAGTTTCATCTGATGGAAAACAAAACTAAAAAGATTTATTGTTGGTGAACTAAGTTATCGCTTGAGCATGGTATAAAGGCTACAACGCTTTCCAGGCGCAGGGCTCATAGCTAGCAGGTTAGCCTTTAGCCTATGGATCAAATGCAGCACAGAGATCTAACAGGACTAGTTCAGATACAAGTCCTTTATCAGACAAAGTGTCCAAGATTAAATCCAAGTTAATTGTTTTAGTGGCAGAGATGGAAACACCAGAGGAAATAAGCAAACATGCCTCCATAAACTGCTATGCCGATGCAAACTCAAGACTTGCAAAAAATGACTCGTGAACATGTCAGGAACTGAGAGTCCTTTTTAATAACTGATAGGTTGTTTCAGCATCAGCAGGTTCACCTCAGGGTTGGGTTTTATCTCCTCTTCTTTATGTTTTGTACATAAATGAATATAAAAGCGTTTTGAACACAGTTGCGTTGTTAACGGGTCAGAATCAGAACATGGGGCAGAACTCCAATTTCTTTGATTAAAATGTCAAAAAACAAAACAATGAATGTTTGATTTTAGCTGTAGGAAGGATCTAACCACTGGGAGCTTAATTCATGGTGACGGTGTCCAGCTCATAGGCGTTTTTAGCCTATTTTTTGGGCTGCTGAGGAACCCCTAATCTGAATCAAAGCACCCCTAAAATATGACTTGTTTGATTGTAAAAACTATACAGTATTTGGTTATTTAACCCCTTCAGTTATCCTCAGGGGTCAGTTTCACCAAGCAGGTTTACTGAAAACTCTAAAGGCCAATTTATGCTTCTGACGCAAAGCCTCTGCGACCCTCAAATCTGTCTCTGTCCCTCAAAAATGCTTGTAGCGACAGTGGAGAGGAAAAGCTCCCTTTGAACAGGAAGAAACCTCCAGCAGAACCAGGCTCAGTGTGAGCGGCCATCTGCTGAGGCCCACTGGGGTTCAAGGAGACTGATAGAAGCAAGCAGGGAGAGATGCATCTGAGCAGGCAGGGAGGAGGAAGATGCAGGATATGTCGGCATCATGATGGCTATGAGGCAATTATTAAACATATCGGTCCTATTTTAACAACTGATCTGTATTTCTATCTAGTGGCTGTCTGTGTTGTTGTGGGTTTTGTTAGGAGGTGTTTGTTTGGTCATGTGACTAAAGCGGATCTTCACCACCTGATCCGTCTGAGGTCGTCCTCCACTGTAGTCATGGCTACCATCTTGGTCTCCTCCTTCAGTCACTCTTCTTTATACTCTGGTCACACTTTAGGTCTCCATCCGTGTGAGACTCACCCCCAGAATCCACATCCTCCATCAGTCCCCGCCCACGTACGTCAGGGGGTGTACTTGTCTGTCATGTTGATCAATGGGAGCTGTTCCACCGCTGCCCCTCTGCACGTCACCGTCCACCTACGTCTTCTGCGTCCGTCAAAATACGGAGCAGAGCTATTTCTAGTCACCGGGGGGGTGACAGAGGATGTGGGATCTGGGGGTCAGTCAGTTCAGAAGCTACTGTGTGACTGCAGCAGACAGTCAAAGCTCATCTCTGTTCTCACCTTCTCAGGCAACAGTGGCAGCCTTCGCAGCCAGCGAGGGTCACGCCCACCCGAGGGTGGTGGAGCTTCCCAAAACCGAGGAGGGCCTTGGCTTTAACATCATGGGTGGGAAGGAGCAGAACTCCCCCATATACATCTCCAGAGTTATCCCTGGGGGGGTGGCCGATCGCCAAGGAGGGCTGAAGAGAGGAGACCAGCTGCTGTCAGTCAACGGAGTGGTAAGACCTTAATAAGAGACCCTCGCCCCCCCATCCCCCTGGAAGTCTGTAACAGTGCGGTGTCTGCAGAGCGTGGAGGCAGAGCAACATGAAAAGGCAGTGGAGCTGCTGAAAGCCGCCCAGGGCTCGGTGAAGCTGGTGGTCCGCTACACCCCCAAGGTCCTGGAGGAGATGGAGGCTCGCTTTGAGAAGATGAGGAGCGCCAGGAGACGACAGCAGCACAACAGCTACTCGTGAGACTTCTTGTTAGTCTGCTTTTCACATGTTTGGTTAGCATGTCAGAGGATGGAGACGTATTTCACACGAAGAGTGTCTAACAGCTCCAGACAGGAGGGAGGACAGGCTCCTTACAGCTGTGTTAAGCATGGTGGTGGAGGGATCATGATTTGGGCTTCAATAGTAACTGCCTGGAAACTCAATCCTTTGTTTTTTCTGTGTCTCTTTTTGCAGATCTCTGGAGTCCAGAGGCTAACCGCTCCAGTACCTCTGCACACCTCATCATTCCACCTTCCTGACTCTTCTCTCCTTGTGGGAGGAGCTTATGGGAATGAAAGAACCCCCAGCGTAGCCTGTTACCTGAAGCCAATGCTAAAGATTCGGGTTTTTCTCTCCTGCTCCTCCGTATCACTCCAAACACCGAGTACTTTTGCTGTAAACTTCTGGCTCTAATGCTGATCCTCTGATTCTATCTCTGTGTTCCTCCAATGCTGGGGGGGCGGGACCAGTTCCTGGGGGGCTTCTATCCTGCAACTTTTAGACGTGGCTTTGGTTCAACACACCTGAATCAATTCATTAAATGATTGAGAGGAAGATGGAGGAACTGACTGAATACTGAGGAGGAAACTTAGGTGTGTTGGACCAAGGATGGATCTAAACGTTGCAGGGAACCCCCCCCCCCAGGAAGTGGAACTGCCCACCCCACCTCTGTGTAGCTTCAAGCCAGTCTCAGTATCCTCAGTCTGCTCCTGGCCTTGTTGGCAGAGGAAAGGTTTCCACTTGTTCCTCAGAGATGTTAGCTACAGGGCTAACGCTCCATTCCCGCGGCTGGTTGGTGTTACTGAACGGCTGGAGTTTATTTTGTTAGTGTTTAATGTGATGTCATATCCTCTCCCAGAATAAATCCTAAGTGTTCCTGCTTTATCTCTGCAGCTTTCCTGTGTACCCTGCTTCCACCAGGCTTGGTCGCAGCGAAGTTAGAACTTGTTACGAGTGGTGAGGTCATAACAGGAGCAAAGAGCAGGAGCAGCATGGAGGACAGGCGAAGCAAAGCATGTAGAGAACAAGGAGAACACAAAGGGAGAAATCAGAAATAAATGATAAAACCAGTGAGCTGATATACCTGAGGAGAGTTCATTGGACCAGCTGCCAAGCAGCAGAAATGCTGAAGCTAATGCCACAAAATTGTGTCAAAAATCTGGACGTCCAGCTAGCCGGTGTAGGTTCCAGATCTGCTCGGGGCCCCGCCCCTTATGATGTCATCCTATGGCAACTCCACTCGGACAAACTGTATTGTACCCGTTTCTGCAGTCTTAACATATTATTCTCCATATTTGCCCATATTTTATGTTTCACTGGCGATCTAAAGTCGCTGAAAGTAGAAAACAATGATTGTCAGTCTGGAAGGAAAGTCCTGCCTCTAAGGCAGACTGAGCTCTGCTATTTAACAAGGAGACTGAAAAGTCTCAGCTTTTATTCTTTTTATTAAGATCTGAGGACAGAGGAGGACTTGAAAATGACTTTCATAGAGATTTTAGACAAATAAAACAGTTATTCTACTCATAGAAAATGGTTGTTGTTGACATGAAGTTTTGAATCAATCTGACTGGATGATCTGGTGAACTGGAAAGTGACCTGAGATGACATGATATATAGAATTGAAGTTAAAATTAGTGTAGCTTAATATGGCTAACTGAGCGAGCTAACCTGTTAGCTGCTGAGCACAGCTAGCCACAGCGCTACCCAGCTCTTTACATCACGGTCTAACAATTACTTTGTTGTTTTGTTATCGATCAGGTAAAACGTCATCAGTCATTAGACACGCTAACGCTACAGATGCTCCCGACTCGGCACAATGATGATGCGTGATATTATTATCGTTGTCAGGGCAACCACAATGTTTTACGTGATGTGACGAACTTCGGCCAATCACGCAGCGTAACGGCACTGGCAGGAAGCAGAACCCCAGCAGATCTGGTCCCTACAGCGACCCTCTGCTAACCAGGACTCCAACTCAACCCACCAGGCTTCCTTCTGAGCTAGCTGGGGCTCAGCCTCAGATGATCCGGCCTCCTCCCCAGATAGCAGAGACTCTAGCCCAGCTCAGGCTGATGATTGGCCACAGTTAGCCTCTTTCCCACTGGAAATAGCAGGTTAACGCGTGTTTTTCAAACATGGTGACCCGCTAACAGTCAGAAAAGGCTGGTCTAACCTCTCTGTCCCCCGCTGCGCATCTAGTGACACCATCATGATGTCACCAGTGCTACAGAAATCAGGAAAGTAAACAATGGAGAGCAACATGTAAGGAAGCCAGGGCGTAGTCAGTGTTCTTCATTGTTTCTCTTTATTATCTGTCTGAATCCCTCCCACCAGAGCTGCTCCATGTTTATCAAATGGAAACAGAGTTGATTCTGCCTCTTAGATCAGAAGCGAATGGCGCAATGTGTCGATGTGGGTCGCTTGCCGAGTCATTTGACCCGGTTAGACATGCGTCAGTGAGCTGTTCCCACCGCCACTAAAAGATGGCTGTTTGTGGGTTTAAACTGGTTTTTAACCCAGTGGGACAGAGGTATATGTAAGTAATGTACAAGTGTAAGGGGTTTAAATCATATATTTATTCAGGTAAATGTAAAAGTTAACCTTTAAAGAAAGATAAGAGTAAAAAGTAGATGGTAAAAAAGCTACTAGACTACTGAAGTACCAACTGATCTGCTTACTACCCATGACCATAACAGCTGATTTAATATCTTTTGAGTTATAAAACTTACAAAAATCCGAAGTTGCAGTTTGTTAGATCAGGTTAAGTTACAGTAAACTGTCTTTTCACTTAAAGGTATATATTTTATTTTCCGGGTGGATCATTTCAATCAGTGGTTCTCCTAACTGTCAATCATTCTGGTGATCTGTTCACGTAAGGCCGTCCTACGTGCTCCTCCCGTTAGCGATCTGTTTCTTTCAGGCCTAGATCTGTGGAGAGCTACGGTTTCAGACAGTCATTGAACTCACCTTTCTCACCGCCGTTCTTTGAGAATGACCGAGGGTCGGAAGAGAAAAACTGTCTTCGAAGTATGAGAAGAAAAAGGCCTCAGAATAGGCAGATATATCCCAGAATGCTTTGCCCAGAGAGCTCTCCTCGCAAAGCATTATGGGATTTGCTGTCACAGCGGCCCGCTGTCGGTCCTGGAGGGTCCTATAGGTTTTAGAGATTTTCCTGCTTGTTCAAAAGCCATTAAATCAGCGGATCTGATGGAAGGAAAGCTCTAAAACCTGCAGGGCGTCGGCCCTTGACGACTGACTGTGGCCCTTCCTGGCCTACATAGAGCACTGTAGGGCCCCTATAGTGCTCTATGTGGGGTTGGAGCAGACTTTCGGACACAGACGCAGTCTCTCAGGGACGTTTATAAGTAATGGGGAAAGGTGGAGGGGCTTCTGCTGTAAAGCAATCTGCACATTTCTAGTTGCTTTGTGTGGCCGGGTCACGAAGGCCGTCCTGAAAGTCGCTCAGAGCTGCTGAAACCACAGAGGAGTCTTTCAATTAGAATCACAATAGTTAGGAAACCATTTTAACTCCCTCAGTATTGGTTTAATGAAGCAGCCGTCAGTCAGGAAGCTGTCTGGATTTAAAACTGTGCTTATAGAGGATGTAAGGATAACAGAAGAACATTGATTTATCATTAATATTTAGATGGTGAGGAGCTAAAGTCACGATGCTGTTTCCTGTTAGGGAGTCAGACATCATCATCCTCTCTGCCTGCAGCCATCAGTATTCCCAAAAACCCGAATAATAAGACTTTCAGCATTTATTTATTGATTTTTCCTTTATTTTCTACAATTTCAGATTGCTGCTGGGTTATGTTATATTCCTCACAACGACAGAATACAGGGTAATCCTCATATTTTATTCTATTCTATTCTACTCTATTCTACTGTATTCTATTCTATCATTTCTATTCTATTCTACCCCAGACAACCAGAAATAGGGCAACTTGTGGTTAATAACAAAGAAAACAGGCAAAAAAGAGAAATATTCAATAGAAGATTTAATCTGTTTTTATTATTTTCCGTAAAGATTAATTGGATTGAAGCAGATTAGTTCATTTTCCTTGGAATGTGTGCCGTTTCTTCCCGTCCAGCAGAGGGCGCTGCTTGGTCAGCCAGAGGAGGCAGAAGAAGGAAGCTGCCGGGCGGCCTCTACTGGTTTCCTTTCAGGTCTGAACTCTGCGGGTCTGTTCCGGATAAATCAGGTAACATCCAGTTTAGCGGTGAAAACAACTTTGAAGTTTCCATCCGAACCCAGACCGGACTGATGACTACTTCCGGTGTGCTGGCGTCTTTATCTGTTTGCGGTCCGGCTATGCTATGCTATGCTAATGGCTATGCTAATGCTACCTCTCACAGCCTCTTGGAGAGGGTTTCTATGGTAACAGAGATCACCTTGGCGACCAGGGACGCCTTTAGAACAGGCAGGTTCTAAAGGCGGAAGGTTGGCAGGGTCGGCGTCATCAGAACCAGCTGTTTTAAACCTCTTTGGACCTGCTGGGGAAACGGCTCCCCACAGCCTGATGCTGCCCCTACCATGCTTCAACCTGACTGCTGGGATCAGTTTTCCAGCTTCAGCATGGAGCCATCTTTCCACGCGGTGCTGTCATCTGCAGGGTTCTGCTGATCTTCAGGTCTGATCTGGGACATTATTGTGGATCCAGACCTGATTAGAACTGAACTAGAACTTTCTCCATGACAGTCAGCTGGGTTTCTGGTACTTCAGCGGGATGGTAGTTCCTCCCTGTTCCCTGAAGAGGCTCTAAGGCCAGAACATCTGCTGATTGGGTCGTTAACGCGTCAGGTGACCATCCAGGGGTGTGAATACTTTAGCTGGGTATTTTCTCTCTGCTCAGCTCCTGACTCTGTGGTCCAGATGTGGTTCTGTGGTCCAGATGTGGTTCTGTGATCCAGTTTGACCCAGATGGAGCTGAGGTCCTGGTCTGCAGCAGGAACCTACAGGTTATGGTGAAAATCTCACAGTGTACGCTCTGCTTAAGGCAACATAAATCAATGTGATTTTCACACATGAGGTCATTAACTAACAGACTTTTAGAGGAAAGAGATATTTTTCCCCAATTGGAGTTATTTTAATTTAAATTTGATTAGAATAATTTACTCCTTTGGGAATCTTTGCTAATATATTAGTTTTTGGTCAAGACACTGTCTGGATGGAGTAATGAGTAACACAGACGTCCTAAGTTCCAAAAACTCCTTTCAGGGAGATGCTTATCATAGCATATTTTTACAGATGAATTTAACCATTTTTCTTGAATTCTAATCAAAATTTTATAGAAAACAGTAGTTTTAACTTCAATTAAGTGAAAAATCTGTAAAATTCCTAAATTATAAATGTATATTGACCTCATAAGAAATAGAATTTTTATTGAACCTATTTGAAAAGAAATGTAATTTCATGCAGCTCTCTTAATATATTTAAATCTCTTGCCCTGTTTTTTATTTTATGCTTCACCGCGCGCCGCTTCACCGCCCTTCACCGCGCGGTTTAAGTTTGGTTGCATCGATGAAATGATAGAAAAAGGATAAAGGAACCTTTCTATGGTGGACGTATTTCTGATGGGAGGAGCTGATGGAGGAACCAAGCAGGAAGTGACATCATCAGAGCAGAGCTCTCTAACCCTGAAATCCCACATCATCTGTCACCATCATTCCTCGGTGGGATTTATATTTTTAGGATTTGGGGAAAAATTGGCAGAAAGTTCCCATCCCTGCATCAGAGCGCCACCTGTTGGATCTGTGGACGGTTTTCCATCCTTGCAACCAAACTAGCAGCAGTAGTGGAGTTTGGAGATGCAATCTACTTCTTAAATCTACATTTGCTCTGCTCTAATTTATCCAGAAGTTCTGCAATCACCATTTTTCTC